CGGCGGCTGGAGAGCCTCTGCCGAGACTTCGAGCTGCAGAAGGTGTGTTACCTGCCGCTCAACACCTTCCTGCTGCGGCCGCTGCACCGGCTCATGCACTACAAGCAGGTCCTGGAGCGCCTGTGCAAACACCACCCGCCCAGCCACACCGACTTCAGGGACTGCCGAGGTGAGCTGGGGGCAGGGACGTCGCCGGGCGCTGGCGCCAGGGATCAGGCCGGGGCACCAACCTGAGCCTGGCCGGGGAGGGGCTCCCCAGAGAGAGGGGCTGGCGGATGCTGCGTCCCAGGTTTCCATAATCATATTCGATTTTAGTACCTGATCTGATACTTTGTTACTCACTTTTTTTCACTAAATATTTCAAATGTTTTTAATATTGCACTTGAAGGTTGTAGGCTATATGTGACAATTTGCTACATAAGTAAATTGCGTGCTGGTGAAGTTTGAGCTTCTAGCAGGCACTCTCTCCCCCGACATTTATTTTTTAGATAGGGCCTTGTTCTGTCACCCAGACTGGAATGCAGTGTCACTATCATAGTCCATGGCAGCCTCACACTCCTGGGCTCAAGTGATCCTCCCGCCTCAACCTCCTGAGTAGCTAGGACTACAGGCACACACCACCATGCCCAGTTATTTTAAAAATATTTTGCAGGGACATGGGTCTCGCTGTGTTACCTAGGCTGGTCTCAAACTCCTGGGCTCCAGTGAGTCTCCAACCTCAGCCTCTCAAAGTGTTGGGACTACAGGCGTGTGCCACCATGCCCAAGTCCAGCTAAGGGATCCTCCAATCTCGGCCTCCCAGAGTGCTGAGAGTACAGGCTTGAGCCCAACCACCGCGCTGTGCTGCATTTCAATTTTCCCATAAAGAAGGTGCTAGCAATTGTCATGACCCCTTTTTTCCTTCCCTTCTATATGCATTTTCTCCTTTGGACCTGGTTGGTTTTATGCAAAGAATCCTGGAGAAGCTTCGCCGGCAGTCAGCCCCTCCAGCAGCTTTCTTCTGCCTCAGCACTCTTGGGCCAGCCACAGAAAGTGACTGTGACAATTCCTAGCGCTCACTGCTGCTGGGCTTCTGTAACGCCAGGCGCTTCCGTGGACCTTCACAAGCCTGAGGCACGGGTGTGCTTGTTTTCCATATAGGGACTACCAAGACTAGAGGGGTCAAGGAGGCTACCCAGAGTCACACAGCCAGGAAGTAGACGGTTTGGACCCTAAACCTAGAACCCATGGCCACGACCATCCTCCCTTACTGTTTCCAGATGGTTTTGGCCAGTCTCACTCGTCAGCCCCTGGCCGGTACTATGCCAGGTGTCCTGTCAAGGTTCACACCTTTTATAGCCCCATGAGGTCAGTGCCATTCTCCCATTTCACAGCTATGGAAACAGGCTCAGAAAGGGAAGGGATTTGAGCGTTGCTCAGCTAGTAAACAGAGCTGCATTGCAGACCATGCTTTTCCCATGGTGCCACACATCCTCTTCTTCAGCGGAGTCATTCTGTCTCACGTCATGTGTGGTCTGGGCCTAGGTTCCTGGCCTAGTCCGTAAGCCCCTAAAAGGGCCAGGGCTGCACACAGAGTGGGGCCTTCGTGGGTGGCCCTTAAAACAGATGGCACAGATCTGTACACCCTCTCAGAGGGAAAGGCCCTTATCTCTTCATTCATTTATTCGTTCATTCATTCAGAGACAGGGTCTTGCTCTGTGGCCCAGCTGCAGTACGGTGGTACAATCATAGCTCACTGCAGCCTTGAACTCCTGGGCTCAAGTGATCCTCCCACCTCAATCTCCCAAGTAGCTGGGATTACAGGTACCTGCCACCATGCCCAGCTAACCTCATATTTTTTTTTTTTTTTTGTAGAGACAGGGTCTTGCTGTGTTGTCCAGGCTGGTCTTGAACAAGGCTCTTACCTCTTGCCTGAAGTGTTACAAACACCTCCCAACTCTTGGGCCACCTGTGTCATCTCTTTAAAAATCATCTCCTTCTTACTCCTTGCTTAAAACCTGGGCGACGCCTGACTGTCGCAGGCTAAAATCTAAACTCCTTCATTTCTGGCCTGTCCAGTCTCCCGTGTACCAGCTATGCTTTGAGCACCTATGCTGTGTGTACGAGGGAGAAGGGAACAGTGTGGCCTTGCCTTCATGGGACCCACTAGTGGGTCCACAGGCGCATACCTGGGTGGTGATGACACTGCAGAAGGGCCTTGACAAGACGTGCACGGTGCATTTGGACCAGGGGCACTGGCCTTGGCCTTGGGGACTTACGGCACTGTCTGAGGGAAGGATGTCTAAGTTCAGAGCTAAAATTTAAATAGGCATTTTCCTGGGTGAAGGGAGGGTGTGGAGAATAGTGTTAGGAACAGCACACATACAGGTTTGAAAGGACAAAGACTGTAGAACATTCCAGAAAATATAAGTTCAGTATGAAATGCAGAGGGAGAGCAACAAAATGAGACCCGGAACTGTAAGCAGGGACCAGGTCCCACAGGGTCTCATAAACCCTGGAAGACCTTGACCTAAGAGCAAAGGCGGGACAGGAAGTGTTTTAAGAGGGGAATAGTAATACCAGTCTTGTTCTAGAGAAGTCACTGTTAGTATCTAGAATATATAGAGGACTCCTGCCAATTAGTTTTTAAAACGACAGCCCAATACAGAGCAGAACTGGCAAAGTGTGAAGACCTTAGCAGTTCATGGGCGGGAACACCCATGCCTTGTGGTGTGGTTTCCTGTAGGCCAGCAGTGTTAACACAAGCCACGCTGCCTCTTGCCTTTGTCCCTTGTGCCTGGAGTCGTTGCCAACACCCCCTTGGCCTTTCCTGGCAAAACCCTTCTCCTCGAAGCCCCAACTTGTGCCTGAGCCTGGAGGCCGCGCCGACCTCGTCCACCACGGCCTGTTGTACAGGTCTTGCGGGTAGGTCGTGCCTGGAGGAAATGGCCCAGAGCCCCTCCCAGTTCCGGGACCCCAAGACCCATGGGGGGTGAGAAAAATGTTTGGTTTTGCGTGTGCGCTCCTTGGCCAACTTGCCCGGTTTGCATTCCCGTGTTTTTCTAGACAGTCCATCTTGGAAGTAATCTACCCTTGGCAAATGAGTGGATAGAAGTGCTTGTTACCTAGCTTAAAACACAAGGTGGCAGCACCGTAGGACTGGGAAAGCAAGGTACGTCTGGGCGCAGACTTCCTGAGCTAGCGGGATGCCGGGCGCCTGCTGCTGTTCCCAGCGTGCCCCGCCCTCCAGCGCCTCGACCGTTCCCAGCATGCCTTGCCCTCAAGCTCCTAGAGCGGTTCCCAGCCTTTCTTCCCGCAAGTTCCTCCGCCTGTTCCCAGTATACTCTGCCCTCAAGTGTCTCCACCCGTTCCCAGCACGCTGCGCCCTTGAGCGCCTTGGCCTGTTCCCGGCCTGCCTTTCCCTCCGCGCCTTGACCTGCTCCCAGCATGCCTGGCCCTCGAGCGCCTCGACCCATCCCCGGGTTGCCTCGCCCTCGAGCGCCTAGGGCTGTTCCCAGCATGCCCTGCCCACAGCGCCCCGACCCGTTCCCTGCCTACCCTGCCCTCACGTGTCTCCTCCAGCCTGTTTCCAGCGTGCCGCGCCCTTGCGTGACTCCCCAGTTCCCGGCCTTCCTTTCCCTCAGCGCCTTGACCTG